AGGCCTTGGATAAGGGAGCAGCATGGAGTTTTTGGTGGTGTCCCAATGGTAACACCAAGCAATCCACCTAGAAGATTAGCGCATACCCCTAATTTTAAGGCATCCCTAGGGCAAGTGCCCCTTCCGGGGCTGGGGCTCGGCTTCGGGTTTGGTTTAGGCTTTGGTTGGCAAGTGCCACATGCACTAGTAAGAGTGAAGAAGAGAATATTTAGGACTAGAAAGAGGACAACTGATGTTTTACTATCGGAAGCCATTTCTCGAATACCCTAAATCTTGACAACTTGTAGCTGCTGATTCTGTTAACTATTAAGGAATTTGGAATGCATGATTTAGTTGCATGCAATGGGTTTTTATAGGAAAGAAAAGGGTTAAGTTTTCAAATTGATGTTAACATACATAATAAAGTAGCTATGTGCGCCCTAAGGATTTTAGCTGGAAAGAGGCAAACTTTTGGATGCATGTGAATTAAGATAAGCAAATTGCCATGTTCTTTGCCGACGTCTAAATCTGGATTTTCGAACATATCATGTGTAATAAAGTAATAAATTATATATCATAATTATAATTATTTGATTTATTTAGCCCAGAATTTTTACTTAAAACTTTTTCCCATAATGAGTCAATGAATTGTTGATTGCATTATTGATTATAAAGGAAAAAAAAGAAAAAAAAAAAAAAGGAATTTCCTCCGCATACTGTGGTGGACAAGAGGACTTGAAAGTTGAAGCCCATGTTAATTTATATATATAAAAAAAACAACTCCACAGTAAGTGAACTAACGTTGATACATGAATAGCTCGTTAAAGAAAGGGCAAGATGGAGAAAGTTCAAGAATGTTACATTTATTGTGGAAACAATTTTTTTTTTTCCTAATTATTCGAAAAGCAAATGAAGATTGAGTGAAAAGAGATTTATGTGGAAAAATATGCTAAGAATTCCACTCCATCACTAGTATTGCTATAATGCTTAACTTCCACCTTTTTAACTCAATTTAAACATGTATTGACAATCGATAATCCTATATTATTTACAAATATTTCTTGAGTATATTTAAACATATTTCTACATACAATCGAAAATATCCTTATTGCGAATTCAAGTATATAAAAATGCATTTAGTTACGAGCTATCTAAGTAGATTGTAGAAGGCATAGACAGTTATCCCTAACATCTGTAGGACCTTATGTTGATTATCAAGTGTGAGCTAAATCTATTTTGAACCTCCAAAAATAAAATAAGCAAAGTATACATTTAAAGGTGATCGTTCATTCTAAAATTAATAATTCGACTCTAAAATCACCTAGAGGCAGATGAATAGGCGAATAACACGGAATTAAAATTACCAATTTAAAAGCAACAAGTCACCTCTTAATTGTTCTAGATATTTAGTCAATCAAGTCAATTTTATCCTACATTGAATTGCCACAATAATAAATAAAGCAGTAAATCACACAAGATTTGTTGATGTAAAAAATCCTTTATACGATTAAAAACTCCTCGACCAAGCTAGTGGTTTTCACTATAAATAATAATAACTTATAATATGATCCAACCTAGAAAATCCTCTAGACTCATTGATCTAATTCCTGCAATCTCTAAAACCCTCTAGAACGTGTTTCACTCACAATTGCTCCCAATCTTCTGAAATTGTCTATTTTCCATGAATCACCAAGAACATCTTGTTTTTGTACTCTTTCTATATTTTTGGTCCAAAATCTCCCAATCTTTAGCAACCTCTGAAATCTATTGAGAAAATGCCTTCCTGAATATATATAGGTAGTGGATACTTCGGATTATATGATTTTGATATTTTTTCCAACTTGTGGTTGATTGATCTCAAGATGTAGAATTCTTGTTTGATCTTCAAAGAATGTTGTGAAGGGAGAAAATAATGATCAACAACCATTTTCACGAAGACTTGTTTATATATAGTAGAGAGTTATTGGTGTTAAAATTAGATTGTGACTCGAATTTTAATGAGTATTTTGATTGAAAATATTGTTAGAATAGTATTGAGAGTTGGTAGTAGACTTGAAGAAGTTCAAGAAGGATAATGAGAATGATTCACCCTTTTGGAAGTTTTTTGACTTTTATTTCATCCCAAATATTTCATTATCGATTTTATCCATTGTATTGGAACTTAACTTTATATTAAACACTTCATGTATTAATTCATCTAGTATTTAGGGGTTTTCCATTTAGAAATATGTGGTGTATAACACATATTAGAACTGACCAATTATCCAATAAGTTATTGGTCCAAAGAGATTCTTTATGACTCCTTACGATTGATTATAGTGCATTCTCCTTCCATGCTCGTGGTTTTCTTGAATTTGGGTTTCCACGTAAATCTAGTTTTCCTTGTGATCCATTATTTTCATAGTTGGCTGAATTCTTAGCAAGTGATATCAGAGATGTCTGCTATCAATAAAGTGGTTCCAGATTTGATCCATATTATAACAATTGGGGTTTTATAGGATAATGTTGTCGAAATCTTGTAGAAATAATAATCATACTTACTATTCAAGCCTTGTACAATAATTTATAAGAATTCAAGACAGTAAGAAAAAAAACTCAATTCAATGGTTCAACTTAAGATGAAATAACAAATTCGCAAGACTTGACAATTTTTAGTGTGCAAATTGCTTTCAAATACTAAAATGAATAACTCTTAAGTCTAAAAAACTTTAACAAGAGACACAATAGATAGAACGCTTAAAATTTGCGAACTAGGATTTGTCGTAAAACATCGTCTCTCGAGCGTTAGGCTAGTGCTAGGCGAGCGACAATTGTGTTGCTCGAGCGACAGACGGATGACAATGATTCTGTTTTGAACGCACGAGCATAAGTTTATTGACAGGCTAGCATAATTCTGGCAACTCTTTATCCATGTTCCATGCTCGAACTCATAGACTCCTACTTTAGCTATAAAACATCTTAAAAGATTCATTGACTTTTACAACTATTTTATAATAAACACTTTGATTATAGAATAGCCAATACAAATTAAAACTTAACAAACTCTCCTTTTAACATTCTGTGGCAAAACTATACAATACAAGTCAAGAAAAAACAAAATTAATCTACTTAAACTCAAACTGAATGTTTGTCTCTAGCATTCCTTGTTAAACACTTCTTCCTTTTTCATTTTTTGTTTTGTTTTGTTTTGGAAATCAACAACTCAAATACTAAGTGTAAAAGCATGTGAAACATGAAATATAAAAATTGAAACATACTATCATAAATATGCTAGTTAGATTGAGAAGTAATACTGATATTAATCAAAACACCAATTGAAACATTGAGTTCGAGTCCAAATGGAGTAAATTGTATAACTGACCATGTGTGTAACGTGCCACTAATTCTTTGTAAGCAAGACTCTAAATCTTAATTTTATGAGAAAAGACATACCAAATATCATTGTCAATAATTTTATTCCTCTACTCATGAAAGTCAAACAAATAATAGTATACTAGAGTCTATAAAAGAAACTCATTTTTTTGTATATTATTTTTTCCCCTGAATTTGAGCCCCCCCAACACATATGTGTGTGTGCGCGCGCTCAAATTAGGTTTAATGAGCACCGATGCTCATCTTATACTAAACACTGGTGATATGTCATATCAATTTATTAGTTGATACTAAATTAATTATGTTTAGACCTTACAAAATCTTTATCCACCAATGAATTAATATGATACATTACTAGTGTTTAGGATAAGATAAGCATCGGTTAATTGCTTGATTGCTTAAGTTAAACTGGTTATGAAGAAGAGTATAAGAGATTGCACTTTTTTCATGTTCAAAGTCACCTTACCAACATATGACTTCCATCCTAAATCACACACATGGGGTCAAGTCCCACTCACAATATCATAATGTGTATAGAGTAGATGGTACATGAAGAAATATATACTAAGTACTTCATAAAAATCTAAATAAGTAATGAAAACTATGTTATAACACATCAATTAAACTCAGACTTGGTCTCAACTTACATGTTCAAGTAACTCATATATCATACTATGAAAATTCTCTTCCTTTTTATTATTATTATTTTATAATTTTCAATTAATAAAGTATAAATACACCAAACACACTACACACACACACACAGAGTATTCATGATACTTATTCATGATTGCATGCATCTCGTTTTGTTTGCATGTGCATGTACCAATGCAAACAAAACGAGATGCATGCAATCATGAATAAAAAATATCAACTCACTAATGCCTAGAACTGCTCTCCCCTTGAAGATCAACATTTACAACACTTATATAGTGGATGATTATTCCGAGTCAACTGTGTCATTAACTTCGTCAATTGACTCTCTTGATTAACGAGGAAGTCAATCCAACTATAAAATCCTGATTTCTATTTCTATTCAAGAATATATGAAACCTAGCGTTATATGTTCTAACTCACCGCAATTGAAAACTTAGGTCCAAAGTTACGTTGTCGCTGATATCTATACCTAAATTGGTATGTCCTAAGCTATCTAGTAAGCCTCTATCCTACAATACCCTTATTTTTGAGGTCAGGATTAAGAACATGCTTAGGTTGGTTGGTGGAAGGGACAAAAATGAATTTGGAAGTACTAGCCCTATTATGCTTGGTATGCTTATATCATCGACCTCCTTTATTCCTAGCAAGCTTGTTCATCCCTAAAAGACTATCTAGTTTCTGAGATCAACTGAAGAAGGAATGGAGTTGAGTATTGAATTTCTCATGGTCTCTTGTCAAGGTTTTAACTTCAGCCTCTAAGTTCTCAATGACTAATCTTAATTCCCTAAGGCTTTTGGTTGACTCCTGAAGGTCATAGATAAATCTATCTCTTTTTAGCTCAAGTGCATTAACCTTCTTAAGCACGACTTTATTCAAATTCTTAGTATTATGACTCTTTTCAAATAATTGATGATAAGCCCCACGAATATCTTCCTCATCGTCTTGAAAGTGCTAATACTATCTATTTCCTCAACATTTTCACTATCCTTATCAGATTCACTCCTAATCCTAGCAGTGAAGGACATAAACTTCCCACACTCATCATGAGTGGAACTCTCACTTTGATTATTCGAGCTAGACTTGTCGTTAGTGAGAGTTGCATTCATAGCTTTACCCTAATATCTCTTACTATTAGGGTATTCACCCCTATAGTGACCAAAATCTTGACACTTATAATATCTCACAAATTAAGATCTCTTTCTAGACTCACTGTGAGCAACTTTATGCCTCTCTTGAGGCTTCTTCTTATTTCTAAACATTT